CACTGGGTCTGTGTACACTATATTTTGTAATGTAACTTGCAAAACACAGAATGTTGTATACCTTCTTCAGTGTCGATGTGGCATGCAGTATATTGGCGAGACAGAACAGCCATTCAACAAACGCATGAATGGTCATCGAAGTGACTACACCTGCAAGCCCGACCTCCCCGTAAGTCGTCATTTGAGATCACCTGGGCACGCACAAGCTGATATCAAAAACCCTACAATCACAATCATAGACCACAACGAGGGTTGGTCAAGGGCCGAAAGACTTGCTCGGGAATGGTTTTGGATAAGAAAGCTAAGGACAGTTTCCTCAGAGGGCATTAATGAAAAAACATAAAATGAGTCACTCTTTTTCCCTACCATCACTCATTTTCCTGACATCATTTGTTTCCAGTTACTCCGGCTTCCTTACTTGACCCTTACAGTTTTAAGGATTCTTTTGGAATTTTTTGAATTTTACTAGTCTAAATACCAGGGTTCTTTTCATTTATTAGGGATGTACAAGTACGCATCCACGTCCATTTTTTTAACCTTATCCCAAATTTACTATTATTTTTTCTTTTCATTATAAAACTGCTATTTATTTGGATGATAAAAGCCTCTGTTTGACATATTTTACCAACTTATATCGATCAGTGCTGTTTTTTATTTTTTTTTTGGGGGGGGGGGGGGGGGATGTATTTACACGCAGTTGTTGTAACATCTTAACTGACGTCATTTTGGAATTTTAGAGTTGTGCCAGTTCATATCTCTAATTACTGTTTCACTTTTTTTATTGTATAGAATTCAAGATTGCTATAGTTTAATAATCAGAATAGATTGATCTGATTTATTTTACATCGTGCTCATACTGATGAAGGATATCTGTTATCCGAAATATTTATAGTTACATTTGTTCGTTTATTGTCATTTTTTGGTAATGTTGTACCCTTTTAGTCTGGTTATATATATATATATGACTCCTCAAAATTCGAGAGTCTATCCTAAATTGAGGTAAATTACACGGCCTTCCAAATACTGTTTCGATTCCTAACATCACTGAAGAGACATTAATTGTCGAAATCCGGATATGGTGTACAAAAATCTTTGCACCTTTGTTTGCGGTATACCATCTTTGCCGCAAGTTTATTGTTTTCTGTTTGGTATTAAATTTTTAATTAAGATCCATTTATTACACCTTGTGATCCGTTTATTTGGCAATCGCCAATGGCAGTCAGCAGGGTTTAAGAACATTTGTTGTTCGACCTGTTAGTCAAATGCGTTTTGTTAAAATATACTTTTTCACTTTTTTGGTCTTTTGGAAAATGTTGTTTGTGCTGTATTTAGACCCCTCTAACAAGAAATTTGTTTTTGCATGCACACGTATAAAAATTGCGGTTTTTATCCAACGCAATCATAGGTTTGAACGTTGTTTTCAATTTAGACTTGTATATGAGTCTAAAAGATTGTGTAACATCTATAGAAAGAAATAATTAAATTTACAGTCTAATGTTTATATTATGATATTCAGGATTTTGGATTAAAATCAATCGACCAAAACTTACCTGTATTATTATTGATCTATGGTTACACCTTATACATTATATATCAGTATTGTTAAAACTTTTAACACTGAGGAAGGCCATTTGTTGAGCCGAAATATTTGCAATTATTGTATAATTTATATCATCTGTTCAGTTTTGCCATCTTTGTGCGATGATATTCAACACTTTTTAGTGTTTTGTTTTCCATCTATTTATCGGTATTGTTACACAATCTTTTAGACTCATATAATTTTCCCTGTTTGTGTAGTATTGTCAATTTTGATGATCCAATACCTATTAAGTTTACTGGTTGGTAGATTCTTATAGACTATATATATATATATATATATATATTAGGGATGTCAACTCGGTGAAGATTTACTAATCGAGTACTCGTTGGATTTACCGAGCGATACTCGAGTACTCGCTCGGAAAAACATCTACAAAATGAAAACACAAAATTATACCCATTTTTCGTATTGTGGGACGTTGTTTCATGGTCGTAAAACCCTCAATATTATTACCCAAGACTAGATAATAGTCCAAGAAATTTTACACCATAATTAATAGCTCAGTTACCACATGTACTAATTATGTAAACTTGCAATGATCTAATCAATTAATAAATAAACATCTATAGAAAAATGATTACTCAAACAATAGTATTTGGGAATCGTAAAAAAACACATTTAATGATCAACAAAGGGGTGATGATTAGAACTTACTGATGCCTTTAACCATTTTCTGAGGGTCGACACAGGCTGCTACGAATTTGTTCTTGTTTAGAAATATTATCTTCTCAACTTTTTCTGTGACGAGTCGATTTCTCAACTTTGTTACGTAACTAACCGTCCTGCTGATGAAAATATTTGCTCTGACGGTACAGAGGGGGTGGAATGACTAAGACACGATTAGCTAAAAGTGTAAGCATTGGAAAGGTGCTCTTGTTCATAGCCTACCTATGTTCGGAGGAATTTTAAATGACAATTAAACGCAAGCATTTGAAAGTTCAAACGTATTTTAATTTTGACCAATTTTGATTAATATTTAATTTCCCGGGAGGCGCTCTTAATAAAAATATTATTTCTTTAAGAAGGCAACAACATTTTAACAGGAAACCGATTAGTCGAGTATCATTTTGGTATTTGATACTCGGTACTACCGAGCGATACTCGAGTACTGGAGTACTCGTTGACATCCCTAATATATATATATATATATAGGTCTTAAGATTTGCACAACGGTACTAATATAAGATGGTAGTATACGAAGATGATGTTATAAAATCGTGTTGACAAATATTTCGGCTTAACAAATAGCCTTCGTCAGTGTCGATAGTTTTTACAATACTAATTGTATGTGTAAAAATAGCTCAGTAATCCAGGTCAGTTTTGGTCTATTGATTTTAATCTGAAATCCAACTCACTCGCAGATAGCATCATATCCACAGATCTATATTCTAAGCCTACTGACACTCACCAATATATGTCCCCTAAAAGTTGCCATCCTGCTCATTGTACTAAGAGCATCCCGTACAGTCAGGCACTCAGAGTCAAGCGAATTTGTTCCAACACAGAAACAACTAAAAAACGACTAAGTCAACTCGAAACCAGCTTGAAGAGAAGGGGCTACAAACACAGAACTATCCAAAAAAGTTTTCAGAAAGCGGAAACTATTTCAAGGAGTAAACTGTTAGAATAAAAAATAAAAAAATGTTCTTACTTACCACCCATCTCTCAAAAACAGCTCTGGTGTCATTCGTGAGCATTGGAAAACAGTTGAAAAGAATTCCAAACTATCCAAGATTTTTTCCGAGCCTCCCATGATAGCTTTTAGGCAACCCAATAGTCTGCGGAACCTGCTGGTGCGGGCTGAAGTGTCTGATAATAGAAGTACTTCTGGAGAATGCCGCTCGTGTTATGAAAAACGCTGCAAATGCTGCCTACAGATGCATCACTCATCAAATTTTCACAGTAAGGCAACCGAAAATAGCTATAGGATATTTTGCAATGTTACCTGCAAAAGTATGAATGTTATTTACATTCTAGAATGTTCGGTTTGTGGCCTCCAATATGTTGGTGAGTCAAAGCAGCCTTTCCACAAACGCCTCAATGGCCATAGGAGTGATATCTCTTAGAAGCCACTTCTCCCAGTTTCCCAGGATTTCAGACAATTGGGTCACAAACTTGATGACTTTAACCGCATGAAAATCCTAGTGATTGAACAGAACATTCACTGGAGTCATGCCCAGCGACAGGCTCGGGAAAGCTTTTGGATAAAGGAACTAAATGTACATCATCCAAACGGCATCAATAAGAAATACTAACAGTTTTATTTTACACTCATTTTGGGATATACATATACACAGTCACGTATATTTGAGTATCGAGATTTGTTGTAAATTATGATGTTCTAGATTTGAGATTGAAATCAATAGACCAAAACTGACTTGGATTACTTTCACGCATGCGCAGTACATAGTAAAGGAAGCACCTGTGCGACTCGTGAAAATATTTCTGAACGTTTTGAATAAAAATGGTCGTTCTTTTTAATCGAAATTGTCGGCGAAAGTTTTTTATGAAAAGTTATATCAATATTTTTACACATTTTACAATTAGTATTGTTAAAACTATCGACACTGACGAAGGCTATTTGTTAAGCCGAAATATTTGTCAACACGATTTTATAACATTATCTTCGTATATTACCATCTTATATTAGAACCGTTGTGCAAATCTTAAGACTTATATAATTTTTTCCTTATCTGCGCAGTATCGTCTATTCTAGACGATCCGGTACATAATAAATTTGCTGCTTGGTCTTTTTTATAGACTTATATATATATATATATATATTGTGTATTTAATCATAGAAACATACGTATCTAACCAATGTTCACTCAATAAGCAGGGTACAGAAGAATATCGCCACGAAAACTGGAAAATTAATCCGAAAGACGGAGTCGTCTAGCTCATTTATCTTAACTTATGATATGCGAAATTCAAAATCTTACTAAATAGAATAATTTGTAAAACTAAGAGTAAGTTCATGTTTATCAAGCGTTTGTTATAATTAAAAAAAAAACTCTTTTTAAAACAGAATACTGTAAATTCAGAAATTATTGCGTGCATTTATTATTGCGATTTCGTAATTTAAGACTAAAATGCGATTTTAATTTTTGCGATATTGAGAAAAGTCCTGTTTAATTCTTATAAAAAAGTTGAAAATGCGAGTTTAAATTATTGCGATTATAACCCTATCGCAGTTTTCGCAATAATAAAAACATCGCATTAATTTCTGTTGTCCAAATATCGACAGCTATTGTTGAAAAATATTTATCAGGTAGTGGTATACGCGTATGCAAGTAGATTACAGACTCGTAGTCTGATCCATGTAGTTTTACAATAATTTTCGACTACTTTGTAACTTGCAAACATTCAATATCTAAAAAGTTTTATTTCTATATACCAGTGTTGCCTCTAGTACATACGAGAGCTGAACCTTCATCGGTTATGGAGGAAGAATCGAGTCTGAATATCTTTTGTTTTACTGAAACAAACACCTACCCTGTAAAGATACAATGGCTATTCGAGGGGAATATTATTCCGGAAGAGAACAGTGATGTACTGTATATAGATAAGGTAAACAGGAATCAATTTGGACAATACAGTTGCCGAGCAACGAATCGAGTTGGAACAGAACAAGCAAAAATTCACATCACAGTGAAATGTAAGATATATTCAAGTTTGATGTAAATATGTTTCATACAATAACAGCATGCATATTTTGACAAAACGAAAAAAAAATGTTTACATTATTGAGCAAAGTGTATTGCCAGCAAAACCGTAACAAGATGAATTTTAAACTGTATAAAAGTGTGAATAAAAAACTTATCAAATACACTAGGCTTATGATTTGTTACGCCAGACGCGCGTTTCGTGTACAAAAGACTTATCAGTGACACTCGAATCTAAAAGTTAAAGAGGCCAAATCCAGTCCGAAGTTGAGGAGCATTGAAGATCCAAAATTCCGAAAGGTTCTGCCATATACAGCTAAGGTAATCTATTCCTACGGTAGAAAATTCTTAATTTTTCTAATAATAATATTATGTGAACATCTGCAAATTACACGAAGATATGACTGAGTTTGCACACCTTCTAGCATTGTCAATAATCATGCCAACTGAGCCTACGAAACCTTATTACAACTAATATTTTTATGTTTTTGTTTTCAAATGTAATATGTTCAATGTTTATAAACTTTGAATCATAACCGTTGATATGAATCTTAACATGAAAGTGAAAATAGCTTGAAACAATGGTCATGTTCGTCTATTCATATTGGACGCATTTTCATTATAAAACATTAAATCAGATCAAAATTATTATGATCCTAAGTTTTCTACGCTATCGAAATTAACTTTAATACGGATTTGTCAAACCCTTTCAGATAAACCTTATCTGCAGAAAAGTGAAAGCGACTCTCAATCTTTTGAAGCCGTTATCAATCGTCCAACTCCTGTAGAGATAGTGATTCAGAGCTTTCCTAGACCAGACTGCGCTTGGACGAAAACTAAAGGTGGAAAGCTTGCCAACATAAAAGTCACAGCAATCAGGCGAGATGTTTTTGCAGTTTCATCAACAATTATGCTTCAAAAGGAAAGTCAGTTCGGGTTGTATGGGATGAGAGCAAGAAATCCATATGGCAGTTTAGATATCAAAATAAATCTAGTCTGTAAGTCAGATTTTACCTCGTTTATTCTATAATAATTGTTGTTCATTAGTTATGATACTGGATTAATATCGAATGTTTAATGATGTCAGTTCAGCCGCACGACCCTTTTTTATTATCTATATAGGTTTATATTAAGTAGACTAGATGTTTTTCTTTAAAGATTTTTATGTTTCGAGAGGTTTTAAACATACTTTTCATTTGATCGTATCATTTTCAATGGTGTTTGGTTGCAAAAAAAGGCTTACCCACCATTTTTTTCTTAAAATGTCCTGTACCAAGTCAGGAAAATGGCCATTGTTATATTATAGTTCGTTTCTGTGTGTGTTACATTTTAATGTTGTGTCGTTGTTCTCTTATATTTGATGCGTTTCCCTCAGTTTTAGTTTGTAACCCGGATTTGTTTTTATCTCTATCGATTTATGAGTTTCGAACAGCGGTATACTACTGTTGCCTTTATTAATAAAATTCAAAATAAAAGATAATCTTAAATGTTTTTTCCCCCTCTAAATAACAAAAATATTATGTTTGTTTTTAATGCCTACGACACCATATCTTATACTTTTCTTTTAGCTCGGGTTGTTAGCATTCGTCCATTAAAAATCAACTGTAATGTTTCGTCTACGATTGAACTGCAATGCTTTTTAAATTTAAATCATTCATCCAATTGGACAAGTCTGTGGCTACATTCAATTAAAGGCAACAAGCTACAAGAGCGATCTGGAATTTCCCGGGGAAACAAATCAACGTTGACAATAGCCTTCTGTGATTTTCGAGACATTGGAGATTATACCTGTACCTGGAGTTCCAAAAATAAGATTTATTCATCAACATACCCAGCAACCGTTGCTGTTTTTGGTAAGAAAATCTTTCTACTTTTTTTTTGCTTACTTTTACTGATTAACTTAAGCCAGCTATGAGGACATAGATATTAGAGGTATGCCATGGTATTGATATGGGGCTATGCAGTTTATAGTCTATGCAGTTTACGAAAACTCAAAAGTCGACTTAAAGAAACAAAACAATTATTAATAAGTTGTCTTTTAATTTTATTAAACATAATTATAATTGCGTTATAATTCGGACAATTAATTTAATCAACTTACATTCTTCGTCTAATAGGTTTTGAATACCTCCTTGATTTTTCTCCCTCTTTATGGTGCAAAAATGAAACTCATCTGTTATTCACAAATATATTTTAATTTAATATACTCAAGATTAAAAAAACGAATACAAGATGGTCTTGAGTTATAGATTCTAGGTGCTGAAACTATGTGTGTTTTATTTTACTTTAGTTTTCCCGTTATTTGTCTTCCTTATATTATGTTTCTGTTTGGTCGTATGACTTCTGACGTTACTCGGTATATATGCACCCCGCCATCGGGTTTTTTTTTCTTTAGGCATTCGTGGTGCAGGTGGGTCCTGAGGTGTGATTCGGACACAAGAGGGTTTTAACAGTGTTCTTTCTATTTTGTTTAACATTGTATTTATATTTTACTTATTTTTTACTTTATCGAGAAAGTGTATTATACTATATACGGTATGTAATATCAAGGACAAAAATTTTTTTATCGACGGTCTTTGTCAATTTATTATCAACGACAAACACTTTTTGTTAGCTTCTTTGTCAAATTTACTACCTACTCCTACACCTTTTTTTGTTGGCGTCTTTGTTAGATTTATTTGTTTGTTTGTTTTACTTTTTTAGTCAGTTGTGTTTTATGTCTGTGATGTATGTTTACACAGTTTTGGCTGCTTGATCCCAATTATTGTCATATTAACCTATTATGTATGTTTGGGTTGCTCACCCAATTTTGTCAATATAACCGGAATTATAAACCACTGTCATACAAGTTGGAGGTGTAGCTAGCTATTAAACCAGATTTAACACACCGTTTTCTGCGAAAAGTTACTGTACCAAGTCCAGAATATGACAGTTTTTTTCGCTTGATGCGTTGATTGATAGCGTTTGATTTTTTTCAGTTTTTATGGACTTCCCCTTTTTTTAATTAGCCTTGTTGTTTTTTTTGTTATACTTTTTTTCTACCGAAAGTGTTGTATTAGTATTTTTTAAAACTGTAATGATTATAACAAATACACGTTTACGTATGGTATCTCTCAAAGGATAAATGATGTCATCTTAAAGGTTTGCATACTTCAAATATTAAAAGCTGTTATGATTGTTCTGTACAATTGAAATTATTTAATTAAAACATATGACTGTCAAGGATAATGGCATAATCAACTTTGATAAATTTTATCTAAAAATTTGTTAAATAGAGAAATAGAATATATCTGCATACATGTAAAAACATTGAAAATATTAAGGAATATGATTAATACAGTCAGTACAGGAACTGTTGCGGCATATAAGAAGTAATGCCAGTATTCCTATTTGCCAGTAGGTTGTGGAAAGTCTAAATGTGCATATACGAAGCCAATGTCCCATATATGAAGCTGATATATCAAAATGAGTTCGAACATTAAACATCTGACCTCTGAAATTTTATTAATATAACCTGTACTTCACATTTCTAAGAAATCACCAATCTATGGAAATTAAATTCCCGAATACTAGTATACTTTAAAAGTGGTATTATCTGCAATCAGTGTTCAAATATTAAGTATTATTTTAAATTATATTTACTAATCGACAAGAATATTGAATATACTTGTTATAGATTACTGTTATTCTTTGTTTCAGGATCTCCAATACTTGCATCTCAGAATGTAGACCTTCAGACAGGAGACAGTGTATTGATTAGTGTAAAGTTTTATTCAGTTCCAGAACCCATTTCCATAGTTTGGCTAGAAAACGATGAACGTCTTCATCATAATAGAAGTTCCTTCATGAGGACAATCATTGCTCTTAAAATATCTGACACAGAAGTGAATGTCGATGGATTTTCCACAAGTCTATTACTAGAAGAACCAATATCATATGACAGTCAGTTTAGTTGTGTAGTTACAAATGAGTATGGATATATGGATGTTCTATTTGACAAACGGCTGTTGATAGGTTCATTCAAAGACGGTAACACCATCACAAAAATAATTCAGACGCCAACTTTATCAAAGAACAACACAAGTTCACTAAGACCTACTGGATATACAGACGAACCTACACATACATCAACTGGTAAATACTATGATTGGATACTCACTCGATTGTTTATCTGTTTTATATAATTATATTTATTTCCCTTGATCATATTGATAACAATGATTTAATGCTCAGTTGATTTTTTGTTTTGTTTCTTCCTTTCTAAAATTTACCTTCCTTGTATTATATTATATATACCCTTTCATGGAACGTTTTAAATGGACAATAGCTACGATTTAAAAAAATAAATGAAGTATAATTATTTGTTTTCCAAACAATTGTAAAAGCGGAATTTTGAAATAATAATCCAGTTTGGCTCAATTTTGTAAAACAAGCAGACGATGATTAACATGTTTTGATGACATGATACGAAATTAAAGAAACCTTAACAAATTGTCGTTATAATTGCACGTGCTTATCCGTCTATTTATTTTCATATGTTGTTATTATCGGGTCCAAGGATCATCGGCTGTATTTGGATTTCATCTCGATGGTTGATAAGATGGCGTTTAGTCCTAAAATCCGCACGAAATGCTGATACGTTATTACGATTGCATGCATTGTTTATCGTTTCATATATAATTTTGTAACTCTTGAAAATATTTTAGTAGGTTATAAATCAAATTAAAGAGTTTAATGAAATCGATGGTAATGAATTTGACAGCTAATCCCCCTTTAAGTTATATTTTAGACCCAGTATGATATGTTTGATTTCGACGGTAAAGAATAAACACTCATTTATTTGTTTCTTTATAATCATATTTCTTATTTCTGAATAATGGAAATTTTGCAATTGAAAATAGAATTTGTAAATAATAATGCTGACGTAAAGAAACTATGTATGGAACTTTCCACGACGAGTGCCATATTTGGTGCAGGATCTGCTTACCCTTCCGGAGCACCTGAGGTCACCCCCGGTGTTTGGTGGGGTTAGTGTTGCTCAGTCTTTTGTTTTTTGTGTTGTGTTCTGTATGCTGTCGTTTGTCTTTTGGTCCTTTTCTTTTTTTGCCATGGCGTTGTAGGTTTATTTTCGACTTATGAGTTTACATGTTCCTTTGGTAACTTTGCCTATCTTTTCCACACTTTATATATACTAGACTAGACTTATCAAAATTAATATTATTCTTAGAAGTTAAAAAGTCGCTGTATTTGTTGTTAGTCGATCTCTTTCACTATTATGAAGTTACTTGTGTCCTTTTTGAAAGATGCAATATAACTGCATGTATATAAATGAAAACACAAAATGATCCATGTTTTTACAGTTGATAGTTTGTATAATAATCATTTACTTTTTCGGTGTTTATGTATTTATACGTGTATCTTTCTATTTTTTTTATTTTAGAACCGCTGACAAATGATCAGATTTATATAATGATTTGCGGTGTCGTTCTCGTTATTCTTTTTATTGTTGTGACAGTCTTCATTAAAAACCAAATACGAATTAATCAGATCCACAAGCGAACAGGTAAAATATTTGAGCGCTGAATATTTTCCAGACTATTATATTGAATTACAAATATACAAATTTGAGTTTGTAGATAAACCTCTATAGTTAAATGTGTTATCCTTTTTATATAAGGGCACTCATTTTTTCCAAATTTGGGGAAATCTTTTATCAGTCTATGTAAGGGACATCCCACACATTGGTATATGTGCTGCATGTGTGTTAGTAAACTTCGGCACAAAGTCATACGTACACAGATTTAGCCATAAGTATCAATTGATTTATTTGTATTGTATTTTGTGATATCTATTTTTTGTACATAGCATATACAGTTTTTATATGAAGTGGTCTAAGTGTATATGCCTTATCGCAGCTTATTACTTCTAAATGGATTTCAACAGGCGTTATACTAACAATTGAGCGGAACGTAGTGCTGATCCTTCTGGACCACTTGATAGGAATACAATGAGATGTGGGGTATACGTCAATGAGACAGCTACCCAGCCAAAAGACAACAAGAGGGCACCATACAGTTTTTAACAAAAGATATGTTTCTACATAATATATGAACATTTTTAAATTGTCCATAGTGTATTAAAGTTGTTAATCAAGTTAACAGAGAAAAATCTGCCTTAGAATATAATTCTACAAATATCTAAAAACATCAAGATACTACAATAGATTACTAAAACGTGCATAAAAATACATACAATAAAACCACTATAGCAAAGTGGCAATTTGTTTTTGAATGCTATATGTTGTATATCGTTTTATTTTTTTTTTAATTGTTTTCTTTTTTTCAATATTTAGCTATAATTTTTCATATAATCAATATGTTTGTTAGATCGCTCATTTTTTTATTTTACTGTTGCAATTTTCTTTCAATATTGAGTTGCAATTAAATGTATATTAAAACAATGAATCTACCGATCGCATATGAGCTTGATTCAAATAGATTTACAAGTGACTTATGGACGACACTGGGTTTGTTCATTAAAAATGGCAATTTTCTCCACATGATAAGCCGTCCTTTCCGATATAATGAACTTATAAAGTAAATAATGTTTATCGAGAAGTTAGAGCCCAATAAACTCATCATCGATATAAGGCTATAAATTGTGTTCGCCAGACGCGCGTTTCGTCTACAATAGACTCGTCAGTGACGCGAAAATTAAAAAAGTTAAGAAGGCCAAATAAAGTACGACGTTGAAGAGCATTGAGGACCCACAATTACGAAAGGTTTTGCCAAATACAGCTAAGGTTATCTTAAAATTAGAGTTGATGTAGCACTTTTCCCGCTTTATGGACCATATTTCCAAAACTAGCGAGCAATACATCATGATTCTTAAAGATTATCTTAAAATGATACGAACTTTATGAAATATACTCAATTAGGATTAGATTCTTCAATCGCCCTTTTTTTAAAGAAATTATAATTCTTATGTACATATAAAAAAGATAACACTTTCAAATTTGCCGCCAAAATCATTACGTGATTTGATTGTTTAAGTATATGTTATTCTTTTCTTTGAAGATCAACACTCAGCTATGTCCTTGGGAGCATTACAGTATCAAGAACGTCAAAGGTAATTCAAAAGATATTTACAATAACTTGAGCGCAGCGTATCTTAAATGCTATAGGTTGTTCAAAGTAGGTGTCTCAATTTCATTACCCGGTAAATCAGTTAGAAACTAAGGATCAATTCCCTCCGGCAAAGTGAACTCTAGATTTTGCTATTCGTTTAAGTCCAATTTTGTCATAAGCTAAACTAGTTATACACCCTTAGCTCTCAATTGTCTGAGGTTTGGGCAGTCCTGGTGAAAGTAAAATTTAATCCAGAAAAGTGCTTCAGACGCAACATAGAGTGTCATTTTAATGCTTTCTTTACATCCTTTGCTTCCAATTAGCTATTTTGTTTAGGAGTAGAAGAAGTTTCCAAACAATTGAAAGGTGACTGGGGCCAAGTCATGAGAAAAGTGCACTTTGATCCTTTTGTCTAGATGAGCATTAAGTATTTGACCACTGCACTCTTTGAAAATAACCGAAAGAAAAACGGTAACATTAACGAAATAACATATACATTTTTTCAGATCTAATTAAATTTTATACTGATTATCACATGAGGATTAATTAACGTGCTATGAACTTCAAATTAAATAATAGATTTAAAAGGTGAGGGTGCAAGCTAAAGACGTTACGGCATATGCGCATGCCATATACCTCTTAAGCGCTATATATAATAAATATAAGTGTAATGTGCATAAATAGCCACTTTTCCACTAATTTTAATTTCCATACAGGTCTTCAGATTTATCAGACTTGCCTCAGCAAAACATTGAAAACCCCGAATATGAGGAAATCCAAAGCGTTCCTAGCGAAACAGAGGCAGAAGACTATATAACACCAGTAAACGATAGCAGTAAAAGTGACAGTGACTCGAGCATAGAAAGGCAATATTTAGAATTGGGTCCACCACATACGTATGAAGAAATAAGTTTGTCAAGAAGAGAACTACATGTTTATACATAGTACATGTGATGATATATTGTGGTAAACGCAATATATGTACGTTAGGGATGAAAATAACAAGTAGTGGTATGATTGCCATTGATACAAATATCCATCAGAAACTAACGGGCATGGATGTAAGCAACTCACAGTTTCTGAAAGCTAGCATAAAGCCAATAACAACTAATAAATAGATAATATTTTCCGAGACATTAATGTCAATCAGTACCCGATCAACCGATTAAGCGCAATGAAGACATATAAGTATCGGCAGGGTTTAGGACCGTTAGTGTTCATAACTGTACAGCAATGATTTTGTTGTTTTTGTTTATTAGTACTGTTGTGAATCTTTTGAACTTCAATTGAACGAGTTTCAGAAAGAGGGAAGGTTGATTGCTAGAAAACCATATTAACCAAACCGTGTCCCCCAAAAAACAGGAACCACGTCAGTAAAAGAATGGCGAAAGATACCAAAGGCTCATTCACTCTCATAAGTACAAATAGTGCCCATTTCAAACTTTTACTGGTTTGTAGTGATATATAAACACCGTAAAAAGGAGCCAACAGAACATAGCATTCCAAAAGAGGCAAAAATCAGTTTACACTCAAAGAGAGTCCGACTTTGTACTGAAAGAAGAAAAAAGGAAAATTAACAATAGGGAACGAAAATTCTTTTTTCGTAAAAGTTTGTGTAGATTTTTCCGTGTAAAACTGAAATATCTAAATCTAGGAAAGGATAGTTATTGGTATTTCTATTTGACTTATTTAAAGTAAGTTCCTTAGGGTAAATTTAGGCAGTATATTTAGAGAATTCAACAAAAGTCAGGTGTATTTCAAATATGACAAGATGTAAATCAACACAACCGTATGGAAAAGTCTAAAAGAAATATGTATAGGATACTTTTATTTTATATAATTTGTGTTTGATTTTTTGATAACCATTAAAATGAGCAAACTGTAAAGTATATATCTATTCTGCCGTACCACCTCCTTGATGCCGACGATATTTATCCAACCGGGATAGCTAAATTTTCAAACTTTAACAGGCGAGGTTTACAGAGTGTATGAGTGTTCAAAATATAAACGATGAAAATCTGTTGAACATAGTATGAAAAGCTATGGGGAAAATAACAAATAAAAATATAGTAACTGACTATATAAAAAATCTGTCAACAGTGAAAATACATTCAGATATAACATTTAAAGTTGTGCAAGGTCCTCTTCTTTGTTTACTTCACTCAACAATACACTGAAAAATACAAACAAAACTTTTTAAACTATATGAAACAATTATTTACAAAAACTGCTTAATTCATGTAGCTCGCTGTTTATAGAACCGGTGTTTATAGATCATGATTCAATTACAGAAAAGCTCACATGTATCTCGCTGTTTATAGATCCATGATTCAATTACAGGAAAGCTCACTTCTAACTAATCCGTTTACGTTCTTTACATTTGAGACTTGCCTACATAAAAATAACTTTCACTTCATATATGTGAGCAATACAATGTGTAAAATGCATCGAAGAAAATAAAACTACTTTTACTTCAATAAACAGTCATCTTTAGAAAATTGCCACTGCAAAATCAAATCATTATACAAAACTGTTAAATGTTAAATGCAGTTTTATGTGTTTCTGTCATCTGCTATAAATATGAATCGTCTATCGGCAGTAATTCTATTCTATCACAATGTATATGTTTTTTCGTCGTTTTATTTCATCGTAAAACCGACAATAATACTAGGCCCTTATTCTTCACTCTGTATGCATTCAAAAATGAAAATGACAAATTATGTTGGAAATCAGTATGGTTATCGTTTACTCAGATGTTATTTTTTTCGGAGTTGTGTTGTTGGATTACTGTCTCATTGACTTTTACTTCACATCTTCCTAAATACATACATATTTGTAACTATACACTATTTTCAAAGATTAGTAACTATTTTACTATATATAAATAAGAAGATGTGATTTGAGTGCCAATGAGACAACTATCCATCCAAGTCACAATGTGTAAAAAGTAAACAATTATAGGTCAAAGTACGGCCTTCAACACGGAGCCTTGGCTCACACCGAAGCTATAAAGGGCCCCAAAAAGACTAGTGTAAAACAATTCAAACAGGAAAACCAACGGTCTAATCTATATAAAAAACGAGAAACGAGAAACACGTATGAACCACACCGACAAACGACAACCACTGAACAACAGGCTGCTTACATAATGTAGCGACCAGGAAACGTTATCATCCACACAAAGCAACAATATTTATAAGTTACCCGCAACAAATTCACTAGTACACACATGTTTAAATGAAAATTTTCTTACCATTATTATCCAGATAATTATCCAAAATGGGAAAAACAATGTTATAACGCAGTTCAGACATATTTGATCGGAAAATCTACAACAGAATCAAAATCAAGTTTTTAGTATATGAACTTACATCTGCTGGGAAGCTTTAAGTCGATACATTGACTTTGATATTGGCATATATACATAAATTGAAGATCGAAATGATATACATTGAAAAAAATATGTTCAGTAAAAAAATATAAAAATGGTGTGTTATTGTACTGAATCTACGACAGAAAAATCAAATTTGTCGGTACATATTTACACAACGACATAGGATATGACACTAAGTTCGATGTCTATATTTGAACAACATCTTGAAGAACACTTTCGGATAAGTCCGTTTTTTATCTTTTGCTTAAGATTCTATTGTTATCTAGTTTAAGCCACACAAAAAATTATTATTACCTCCAGATCTATCAACTTTCCAGAACTTACATAATTATCGCATATTTTCTTCTCGTCCCGAATTTATGAACTGTGAAATAATTGCCACTGGACATGTTGCAGGCAATGCTACCATTCTATACATCCTAATTTAAGTTCTTATCAAAACTTAAAAATGATAGAAATTATCAGTTATCAAACGATATATGTAAGATGTTCCATTTTATGAAATGGTTTGAAAGTGAAATTGATGTAATTACTAGACTATAGCGGGACGAGAAAAAACAATGGCACTTTTCACATATAAAGGAAAACCATCATAAAACAAACTTTTGAAAGGTAAAGAGTTTGAATGATACAGAAATATCAGTATGATATTGCATACTTTTCCTTCCTGGTTTGGTGTATAACAGTTTGGGATGGACCTCCAGCCATCACTACCGTTGTTTGTTGTTGTTGTTGCTGCTGCATAGGAGGAGGAGCTGAAATAATAACAATTATATCATCCCCCTTTATATATATCAAGTATAAAATAAATTATATCATACCTTTATATATATCAAGTATGAAATGAATTATAACATCCCTTTATATTTATTAAATATGAAAAAAAACTTTTGGAACTAATTGCAAAGTTTTCATAGTTATGATTCAAAACTGGGTTGAAACCAAATAAAAACAAAACTGAGTTATCAAATGATATACTACACATACTATAAAAGCTCACTATACGGTATATGACGTATGGTAACCCTTTGTTGTCTACACCATCGTCCTTATATCTCTGTTGGATAGTTGTCTCATTGGCAATCTATATATACAGGTTACCTATAATTGCTTACATCCACTTCATTTGAACTTTGGTGGATAGTTGTCTCATTGGCAATCATACCTCATCTCCTTATTTTTATATCATAGATGTGTTTTTCTTTTTATAGTTATTGGATATTGTTTAGAAATAAGAATGGCTTTTGTATAATATATCGACAGAGAACGACTGAAAACCAGTGATCTTTCGGTGTAAAGATATCCATCGGCGATGATATCTTGATTAAACTACCGTTGGATAATAAGTAAACAAATCAGGAATATTATATCGAAACAAAGCCGAATGTGAGACAATTTATAAAAATATAAACAGCAGTGGAATAGTTCATAGAACAAGTTTTGTAGTAATGTTTGATACAAGAATATTGCGCCTATAGATTTATCACACCCGTAGCAAGGGGAAAACGAACCCCCCTTGAAAACAAACAAGCACTGTTAAAGTCGATGTTCTGTATGAATTGAAACTGTTAAAGCGAGCTTCGCGAGTCCATGTACCCCATACAAAATAAGAGTATAAAGTTATTTCATTTGTTTTGTCGCGATAATTGGGGATCACCCGGGATGTGAAAAACGTCTATAAATAAACCTCAAACTTAAATCTAGAATTTAATGAAAATGTTACCTACCTCCATATCCATATCCGGGTCCCGGATGTCCATATCCTGGAGGAGGTGGTCCATATCCACCAGGTGGAGGACCATATCCTCCTGCTGGCGGACCATATCCTCCTGGTGGAGGACCATATCCACCTGGAGGTTGTCCGGGTGGAGGTGGGCCATATCCTGCAGGTGGAGGACCATATCCACCTGGAGGTTCACCAGGAGGTGCGCCATAGGGTGGTGGTTGCTAGAATCATTCAAATTATGTATTAATTTCTTATTGGTACACGAATATATTTGAATTACATCTTATCGTGATATACAAATAAAAAAATGGAAATAGCATAATACTGTATCTATTTCTTTAAATTTGAATTTAAGAGCTTTTGAAAGGTAAATACCTTGTGAGCATGCAATCTTTACGGTTTTCACTATTTACTTAAGTGTCAATTATAGACATCGTAGCGTAACTGATTGTTACTTTATTCATTGGCGGCGAAACAAAATGACAAGGGGTGGGGGCCATTGGTTCAATCTCGAACGTTATGGACAAAAGTTTGTTTTGGCCTCTTTATAAAAGTCTGTTAAAAACAAAAGCTAAAAAGACTACATATTTGGCAAAACAGTCTACTAAAACAATTAAAAAACAATAAATTCGTTAGAATCGCGTAATCATAGCAGGAGATTGCTCAAGGTTATGCTTTTCAATGTTGTTTATGAAGTCTTCATACTAAACTATTTTATGTGTACTAATTGATATTTTAGTCTTGGAAAACGAAAACATGAGTAATAGGTTTTAAACTAGCTTTTGGCAACTGTCAGTATACTTAGAGTGATTCTTTCATATTTTGGCTATGGTTTTTATTTTGTTAGTTGGTTTTTGTGCTTCGTGTCAATCTGATGGGGCAAGACCATTCCAACTGATTTTTACAGTTTGTTCTTATTTTGTGATGTTACACCAATGTCCCGGGGGGGGGGGGGGGGGGCAGGTTGGGGGAGGTATGAACACTCGCAAACATGTTTTACCCGGACACATTATGTATGTGCCTGTCCCAAGTTGTGACCTTTTATAGGTTACTATACAGTGTAAGTTCTGCTCATCGAAGGCAGTACCGTTTCAATAGTTGGTAATGAATAGTTTTCTCATTGGTTATCACACCACATGTTCTTATTATCATAACAAGGACAACCTCTAATAATAATGTGCTACAAATAAACAGACTAATCCTTATAAAGGTTTTATGTTATTAGTTCTCTAACAAGGAAGTATAGTTACATAAACCTCTTTGTTGCGAGGACTTCTTCCGTAAGGAAGAAGATCCCCGTATATCAATACGCAAACGTAATACTTGAGATATTGTCTATTTATTGACAAACACATTAAAATGCAATATGATAAATCGTAAACACAGGAAGAGCAATATCACACAAACACCGGAAAACCGTTTTTGGAATTCTGTAACTACCTGGCGTTCGCAAATATTACATTGGTATGTCGTGCAATTTCAAAAGAAATAAGTCTTTCAAACTTTATTAAGATTCACAGTATTATAGATTTAGGGTTTTAACAACATTTTGACGTTTTCCTGAACAAACTGAACATGCCTAAAGATAACTCGAAACTGCTACTTTCAGATTTTGGTAGTTACACAATGTATTTGTTTCGCATGCTCATTACATGGTTCGCCTTTCAGAAACATTTTAATTTATTTTTGTTTTAAGATTTTTTTCCCTGATTTATTTTTACAAAGGCATGTCAATTTTCTATTTGATCTACAACCAAAATATCCGGAACTGAATGACATTTAACGTCATCGAAATATGTAATATGGTTAATAAAAAATGTTTAAGTGTATTATGTAGAGTTTTTTATATTGTAAGTATAAATGGTTTTAAAAACTTCGTTTTGTCCGTAAAGGAAGGCAAAAGGTTTTACATGTACCTCTTTCAAAATGAAATTAGTTCGAGTACTTCTGGTCTCAACTACTAAGTATGTTTTTTTTTCTTCAATATTTCATTAATAATACAAAAAACATTAAATAAAACTGAGCAAAATGTAAACGGTTAATTTTTATTTGACATCATAAAAATATACATAAAAAGGAAAACAGTAATGTTTTACCTTGTATTACAATAATATAGTTAAAAACTTACTGCCGCCATTATGGATATTCATTAATTTAAACTACAAATTGCACATTTGGTATACGTTTCGGGGTTATTTAAACAAAGACACAATGGATTTAAATGATCATATATAGATCAAATAACAGATAGTTAATAACTTTAAAAAAGACGTGTACACATAAATGTAACCAGACAAGTGCTTCATAGGTTACTATTTATAAACGTACAAAAATTGTTAATAACTTACAATCGTTTGGTTACGAGGTTACACACATAATGAACGTTGAAAGAGGTTCTTGTGTAACCTCGGTTGAGTTGATTTACAAGTTGCATAGACACAAATTGCAACCTAATTTTAAAAGAGTCTACTGTTAGGCATTTTTTTTTCTCTCAGATTTTCTTTCCGACTTCAATCAAGATAAAGCCATTTTTTAATTAACAAACACGAATAAGATTCATTTTTTAAAACTAAAAAAAAAAGAGTTAAATTTAGTTTTTCCCTAATTTTTTTTCTCATTTTCCTTCTTGAAATTTATTTATAAAAACCCCATACCCCTCAAGATATGAATGGTAGGTGGTTTAATTATTAATATGAACACTCGTCTGTCATTGGAAATCGTGTATTTTATGTATTTGGGTGAATTGATGTGTCAATGACATTCTAATCCTTTCTCATATACGTCGTAACCGATAAACAACAGTTAGCAGGTTAAATCTTTAGGTTACAACATTTTATGAACTACACACACACACACACACACACACACACACACACACACACACACACACTAAATCCAAAGTATTTAAGGTTATGAAATTTTAACCACAGTTGAATATTCAAAAAGTCATAATTCCAAATGGAATTTATTTTCAAATTATTAGGATCAGCCCAAATCAAACGTGTGGACCAAAGGCATTTTCAAGGATTATAATATATTATGTATTCTATATATACATATTACTTCACTTTTGTTGCTTCTCAAATGACTGCAACACCGTTAGATACGTCACAGTTGTTGCTTTTTATGTAAGTTTTTACATAATTATATTTAAATTAAATTTTTAAATACAAAATTCTGTTGAAATAAGACATGAAAGCATAAAATAAAACTGATCCACAAGTAAGACCAACATACAAACATCTACTGTACATGTATATGTGTAATCATGCACCCAATCAGTGTAAACAGCAATCCCTTATGAATTAGGTAGCAGGTTAAAAAGATCCACTCCTTAAGAATTAGGGGGCAGGTTAAAAAGATCCACCATTTATGAAAAGGTAGCAGGTTAAAAAAGAGCAACCCCTTAAGATATAAGTAGCAGGTTAAAAAGAGCGACCCCTTATGAATTAGTTAGCAGGTAAAAAAGATCCACCCCTATGAATTAGATAGCAGGTAAAAAAGAGCAAATACTAATGAATTAGATAGCAGGTAAAAAAGAGCAACCCCTTATGAATAAGGTAGCAAGTTAAAAAGAGCAACCCTTTATGAATTAAGTAGCAGGTTAAAAAGAGCAACCCTTATGAATTAAGTAGCAAGTTAAAAAGAAAGAAACAGTATTAAAGAAGATAATAAAAACATCGACTGGATCTCAGAAATACATGACAATAGTTCAAAATTTATAGAAACGGAACTAAACATGTAAGCAGCGAGTCGTCGCCTTTTTATAAAAAAAATATTACGTTTATTTAGATTATCATTAACCAAGTTGCGTGGACACGCGACGGACTTTCATTTTGTACCTTATCTCTTAAAGTCCCCAACTCTCAAAAGTTCTAAGTCGGCACTTCGAGGCACATATTCATCTAGTACACTGTAGTCTTACTGTGTTTGCATTTTGAACAGATTCGTAGTACCCTACCACAGTTTGTAAAGCCAATAGTAATGTTAGTGCTACTAAAGTTTTAAATGCCGGTTCTATTTGACAAACAAGCATATAACAGTTACTGTTTACAGAACTTATAATCCATGGATAATCTGGTAATAATTGTCTAATAACTCCAATACACGTAAGAAATGTTTTGAAACTTTCTATTAAACTTACCTGCGTTTCGTTTGGGAAAATATAATTATATTATTATTTTTTTTTTTGTTGTTTTCAATTAGAAGACCATTTTCGTTCATTGTGAGCTACAAAAAAAAAATCAAAATATGTGAAACTAATGCTATACATGTATTTTATATTTACATTGTATATACAAACAAATTGAATCCTAGTAATGTCAGTCTTATTAGAATCTCTTACCGGTCATGGCAATCAAATATAACACACACTGTCGTACATTGCAATATATGAACCCAACAGAAACCATTTTGATTTATTTGTGATCATCTGCAAATAGAAATCCAATCATACCGGGGAAGTATGGTTTTTCTCTTTCAAATAAATGTAAATATAAATCATTTTGGAAGGTCCTGATTTCAGTTTTCTTTCCATGATTGAAGTATTTTCCAGAATGCATTCTGTTTCTTGCACGTTTATTTCCCCTCCCTTTTAATTCACCTATAACTTTTCTAGCACGTTTATATCCCCTCCCTTTTAATTCACCTATAACTTTGTTGTTAGAAAACATAGTTTGTCATCAACTGCACAGTTCAATATGTAAGTTCGCAAAATAACGTTTTGGAGATATCAAAACAAAATATAGAAGTGAAGACATCGACAAGAAGGTCTACAAGTTATATTTATTCATAGTAATTTCTTAACAACATATGAACATTTTGCACAACCTATAGATTGAAAATAACGTTCGTGACTCATACATTTTATTACATTATTGAAAATTTTTGAAAGCAGCATGATATAAAGTACATTTTAGCAAAGTATATCTTTTTTTAAGTTAGACCACAAATTTACGAAACTGTTAGTCTTGCTGTAAACCAAACGAATCGACGGTTATCCCAATATAGGCTTTGTGTACATGTACAAAAGGATGTTATTTGATGAATTTACAACCATTATTATTTTTAAGTACTAGGAATCTAGTCACACCGTCTCCTCTGCGTTTTCAAAATGTCACAATGAGAATTTGTCTTAGTTACAAATTACTAGTACCCTTACATATAGATGAAATCCTTTAGAGAAAATTTTGAAATAAAAGCAGAAATGCTGTTGGCATACTATTTCATTAGACATTTTGCTTTTCAGTATATGGGGGTGGAGGAGCAGATGGTGTGTATGTTCCATATCCAACAGGTAGGGTCTGTCCAGCAGGCGGACTTAGAGAATTACTCAGAGATGTTATGTGCTGTTGTTGTTGGCTTATCAAATATTGCATTTGTTCTAGGCGGTCATTGGCTGAAAAGAACTTGAATGCTTTTTTGTAATAACAAAACATAACGCAAACTATAATGCTGGTCACAAGTAGGAACACTCCAAAGAATATTCCGAATGCATTAGCGTAGTTTTCAGCCCTGTGATGATGTCCGCAGGTTTGCATGTCCTTTCCACTGCACGCAACTAACCCTGCTATTGTATAACCTATGCTTATTCCACAGAGAGAACACGAACTGACAGCAAGTGAGTAGAATGCAACAACCTGGAACAAAATTATTTCTGAAGATTATATATATATATATATACTTTTCCGCAAGTTTATTGTTTTCTGTTTAGTAATAAATTATTTATAAGATCCATTTTGTTACATCTTGTGATTCGTTTATTTGGCAATCGCCAATGGCAGTCAGCAGGGTTTAAGAACATCAGTTGTTCGACCTGCTAGTCAAATGCGTTTTGTTAAAATATACTTTTTCCCTTTTTTGGTCTTTTGGAAAATGTTGTTTGTGCTGTATTTAGACCCTTCTACCAAGAAATTTGTTTTGCATGCACACGTTTAAAAATTACGGTTTTTATCCAACGCAATCATAGGTTTGAACGTTGTTTTCAATTTAGATTTTCTTATATATATATATATTGTTAGGTTGATTTTCCAGGCAATTTATATATATAATGGATCTTGTGTGATAAATACATTGCTTGCGTATTTGTTTATTTAAAACGTTGGTATAATAGTATTTTTATACTACTTTGCAAAGGACAATTACCAAAGTTATATTGACATGCCATAACTTCTTTGTAATGTTCAATTAGATTGAATTATCACATTTCCATGGAATAAATTTTATGAAGTTTGGCATCATTAAGTTGTCGAAAAATACTCGTTAAATTGAGAATCAAATTAGCATAGTGGCCTTTGAGATTTTTCTTGGAATTAGGTAGCTCAGCTTTTTTTTTTTGTGTCTTTTTTGTCTTTTTGGTGTAAATTCAATGATGAATACATATTTGTGGCCTCTACTTGTCACCGTTTTGTCGTTTTTGATGCTGAAGTTCTGTTGAAATAAATATGTTAATTTGCATCTTCTATTTTGAACAGTTTCTTCTCCTTAACTTAAACAAATATTTCATATATGTAATGTGACAAAAAAGTTAAGACGGTAAATAGGTAAGACATTTTTACAGTATTTTTTTCGCCAGCAGGATCATTTAAAGGAGCCCTTGAATATTTTCGAAAAAAGCTCAAAAGGTCAATACAAATAACTATAGAAGTTAAGTAGAGTATGACATGTTCAAAAAATAAAACCAAATACGTCAGGATAATACGGAAGCCGATAAGGGTCATTCGAAAAAAATAATTTATGTAGCATGTCGTAATAACGACATAACTATGTCGTAATTTCGACATAGCATGTCGTAATAACGACATCACTAGGTCGTAATAACGACATCGCTATATATATAAACAAACAGTATGTATTATGATTGCCAAGAGACTAAATGACACAGAAATTAACAACTATAGGTCATCATAATGCCTTCAAAAATGAGAAAAGCCCCCACATAGTCAGCTATAAAAGGCCCCGAAATGACAAATGTTAAACAATTTAATTCAGACGAGAAAACTAACGGCTTTATTAATGTACAAAAAACGGAAAAAAAACAAATATGTCACACAGCAACAAACGACAACCACTGAATTACAGGCTCCTGATCGCTATGTCATAATTACGACAACCTTAGCGTTGTCACTTTTTTAGGCAATAGAAAATTCAAAATGGTCGCCAGTGAGGGCAAAGTTTGAAGCGTAAACATAATCATATTTTTTTGGAGAATAATGAACACTAAATGCAATCAAGCTTAATTAAAGTTATTTACTTGCACATACTAGAACTTTATT